GGGGACACCCGGGATTCAGAGGGAGTTCAGAGTTTTTGCTGAGACACAGCCACACAGGACAATGACCATCTTGCTCAATGAGCCCCTTCCTGGAGCTTTGGGGAGAAGCAGCAGCCTATCTCTTGGACATTTAACCCCATCCTGCTGGGTCAGAGAAATGTAAACTCAGGCTCATTAACAACCAGCATCAGCCCCACCCTCTGGAAATCCTCTTACACCAAATGCCTGAGGAAGTTTATCATTCAGTTGAAGGCTACAACCCAAGGCTCTTCAGGAACTAAGATTAATAGCCTATAGGCAAAAAACTAGAGAATAACTGAACCTTTTCTGGGCTCGCAAATCTACCCAGGAAAATAAGACTTGACAGTGGTGTGTAATGAGGGTCCTCCCACATTCATCCAAAACCAGTAGAGGGAGCCTCAAACAGCAGAACACCAACACCCACAGGGAAAATTTGGCAGACTCCAAAGCCCACTGTGATAGCCAAAATGGTGAAAAACAAACAAAAGCCAAATGAAAGAACAAGAGACCTCTACCAAAGATGAGATAAATGAGGTACAGTTAAGCAAGTTAACAGAACTAGAATTCAGAGCCATGATCTTGAAGCTCAACACCATGTGTAAGGACATGAGCACCATGAGTAAAGACATAGAACGGTTGAAAATCAACCAGTTGGAAATTAAAAACCACCAAGAAGAAATGAAGAATGACATCATTCTGAGGTTGAGGGAGGCTGTGACTTGCCTCCTTGTTCTCCAAGTTAAGCTGAACCTGCCATCCAGTAGTGAGGGATCAGCACAGAACCTTGGTGCCGATGTCCCCGACTGAGGCTGCATCTGCCAGAGGGCCACTGTGGGACTTGGGTGTGTGGTTCTGCCTCTCTGAGCCCCCAAGGCCTCATGGCTATAATGATGCCTCCTGGAGTTGTTTGAGGATGAAATTAGAGGAGACAGAGGTTACAAAAGTGCTCTATGAGCTAAGGGGAGTTATGCAGTTCCTGGTAATAACAAGAAATTATAAACCCCAGGCCCTGGGCAGGGGACAGGGTGTGGGTGTGAGGCCTTCTTCCCTCTGCCCCAGCTTGAAAATGAAGCTATAGCTGGGGCCACAGGAGAAGCAGCTCGCCCTGGGGGTCCCTGGCCCAGCCTGCCCACTAGCACCGCCCTGCACTGGGAAGTTGGCAGGGTCTGCAGGGTGATAGGCCCAGGAGCCAGGTGCTTCCTGGGAAAGCATGTGTAACCCTGGTCTCCCCATTCTCACCTCTGAACCCACCTCCTCTACAGCCTGGGTGGGTGGCTAGAGGCTCCTGTGGGCCCAGCCCTTGTCTGGGGCCTGCCCACACGGCCCACCTCCCTGCCCGCGGGCCGGCTGGGCCCGGACCTGTCTTGGGAGTACTTCCTCTGCCAGTAATCCCGGGCTCGCCCTCGGCCGCCTGCCGTCATTGGCCGGCTCTGCTTCGACCTGCCCTCAGATCTGCAGGCCCAAGGTACAGGGTGCACATGGTGAGGTCATACTTGTGGCCACGGCAGTGTCGGGTGCCAGTTTAGGGGCAACACTAGGAACCAGGCCTGAGCCCCAGCTCTGCCACCTGCGCTATGACCTTGGACAGAGACATTGAATCTTTCTGGGCCTCTGTCTTGTCTGGAAATGGGAATACCATCATTTACTTGCCAGGGCTGCTGTGAAGGGCAGAGGCCATGTGGGAGCAGGATACCCATCCTGTCTTTGTCTGGGGACAGGCACAGTTCCTTCCATGAGACCCCAGCTCTGGTCTGAGAGCCAAGGGGCTTCCTTTCCCGCTTTGAGCCACGGTCTGGCTGGGGCCCACCCTCAGGCCTGCTTGGGCAGCACCTCCCCAGCCACTTGCCTCCTGAGCTTTGAGTTCACACCAGCACATTCTGGAAACAGCTGCTTTCTGGGTGTCAGCTGAGGTAGCAGGACATACTAGCAGCTCCCCAGGTGTGAGGGCCACAGTCTTCCCCGAACACCTGGCCCCTGACGGCCTATCAAGTGGAGAGTGTGGGAATGAAGGTCCCTGTTACAAATGGGCAACAGGCCTTCAGAAGACGACCCAGCCCTCACGCTCCCAGGGCCAGGCCACGCGGCCAAACCACATCTGGGGATGAGACTGGGTGCCAAGGGATACCCCAGAGCCAGTGGGAGCCAGGCTGGGTCCCGAGGCGCATAGCTTAGGAGAGGACGGGAGCTATGAGATGCCCGGCCGATCTGAAGAGCTGGTTGGCTTTGTGCAGCCAAACTGGAAAAGCCAGTAGCCGCCTGGGCAAAGTCTGGACCCATTTCTGATGGAAAAAAAAAATCCCAGCAGGATGGCTGTGGAAGGTGCTGGGTGGGGGTGCGAGGCCTCGGCCTGCAGCTCAGGTCCCACACTGGTGCCCCGCCCCCCCCTTCTCTGTCCCTGGCCTGGGTCTGTGATGGACTCAGGGTGTGGGGCAGGGCTTCTCAAACTGAGGGGTTTGCCTGGCTTGGGACATTTGGCAGTGTCCGGAGACATTTTTGATGGCCACCACTGGGATGGAACTACTGGCCTCTGGTGGTTTGGGCCAGGAATGTTGTTAACTGTGCTGTGCTGCACAGGACAGCCCCACGGCAGTCCCCTCGCTTGGAGCAGCCGCAGCCCCGAGCCTGAGCAGCCCCTCCAACAAGCGAGCTGGTGCAGCACTGCCAGGCCCTGTCCCCAGAGCCGCGTCACAAAGGTGCTTCCTGTCCCAGCTTCATGGCAGCCAGGTGAAGGCCAGGGTGTGCCTTGGCCCCTCCCCCATCCCTTTAGAAGAGAGCGGGGCCTGCCCAGGCACCCAGCACATGGGGACCTGGGCCCTCTGTCTCCTGCGCTCCACACACCTGGCCTGGTCTTGTTGTCATTGGCCAGGCCTGGTGAGGGTGCACCTGTGGGCCTCCCCACTCCTCCCTGGGCCCAGGAGATGCCAGCGGGCCCCTGCAGAGTGTGGGGGTGAAAGAGCCACCGCGCTCTAGTCCCAGGGGGTTCGACCCGCCTCCTCTCTGAGCCCACCTGGCCATCTCGTGCAGCTGACAGTCCTGGCTTCCCTGAACCCGAGTCCATGCTCAGGTTTCCTGGTCCTGTGTGTCCCCGCTCGCCCACACCCCAGCATGCACAGCCACGGCCCACCTTGTCACCTGGCACTGATGGCACACCCCTGAGTGCCAGGCACCTTCCAGGCCCCCACCTGCATGCACTGTGGTTTCATTCAGTCCTCGCAGCAGCCCTGTGGCATAAGGGTGGGGAGGCCCATCTCACAGATGAGAAAACTGAGTGTGGAGAAGCCAAAACGGTGTTTGGTTGGCGCCAGGACTGGAGCCCTGTCTGGCCGGAGCTCACGATGCCCTGGACCCACCGTTTCAGAGGGCCTGGGCTTGTCCCCTTTGCCTCCCTCTCTGGCAGACTTAGTACACAGTCCAGTCCCATCTCTGTGAGCTCAGGAGGCTGGATGAGGTGTGAGGCAGGGTGTTGAGTTTTGCCCCATTGCTGTGCCCACCCCCACCCTGCCCAACACACGCTTGGGGCAGAAGCCACCTTCGGAACAGGTGATGTGCTCCCCTGACATCTTCTTGGGGACCCATCGCTGCCCCATTTCAGGTACAAGGAAACTGAGGTTCCACAGAGTCCAAGGACTTGCCCAGGGCATCCCACTTAGGCCAGCCCGCTGCTGCTGTTCCAGGTGTCTGCCCCCTGCCCGCTGTGTCCTCTGCCAGAGGTGTCATGGGGCTCAGACACAATGCGGCTTTGTGGGAGCCTCTACTGCTCACCCAAGCCCTGACTCCTGAGACGTTACCTCATCTGGGCCAGGCCCCATGGGGTGGGGCCCACCCAGGAAAACAGGCCTGGAAGCTGATATGAGGCGGGGGAGGGGGAGTGGCAGCTGCCATGAGGCCCCACCTGCTGCTGAACCCAGGGCTAAGAGGCCTTAGAGTCGAGGCTGGTCCCCAGTATGCAGACAGAGAAACTAAGGCCCAGAGACTTGCTCAGAGTCACCCAGCAAACACAGTGCCTCTCACGGAGCTGAGTCACTGAGACGTAGGTGACGATCTTCTGAGTGCTCCATCAGTACAGGGGGCAGACCCTGGAGAGAGGGGACGGAGGCTGGTGGCTGTTCCCCAGGCTGAGGAGGAGCCCGTGGCCCCGGTGCGCAGCGCGCTGGGCCAGGAGCCGGAGAGCTGGCCGTGCTTAGGCACAGGTAACAAGGAGGGCCTTGTACCGCCTCCAGGATCTTTGCTCCGATTTCTGGTCCTGAGCGTGCTCTGTGTGGGGTACAAAGTCATGAGCACTAATTGTCCTGGGCTGTAGCCAGCTTCCCGCTGAGCTGGCTGTGCGCAGACAGGCAGTCTTGGGGGGCAGAGGAGCTGGCCCTGGGAGCGGAGGCTCATCTGCCTTCTGGGATGGGCCCAACAATGACAGCTATTCACCCCATGGCTGGGTGGGCATCCATGACCTGCCCCTCAATCTTGGACAGAGGGGGTCTGAGACCTGTCACACACCTGAAGCCATGGGTAGGAGTGGAGGGCAAACTCCGGCTCTCACTCATCCCTTTTGCCCCGTTGCCCTGGCCCTGGCGCAGGCCCACCTCCCTTGCCCACAGCAGCCCCTCCTGTCCTCTGCCTCTGGCTCCCCCTTCATTTCATGTGTCCTCTGCTGGGTACCAGCCTCTTCTTGAGGTACAGCTCCAATTTCGCGACTCCCTGCTGAATCCTCCCATGGTTTCTGCTGCCCCCACGGCCGAGGCAGGCCCTGGCAGGTGTAGGGTCTGCCATCAGCGCCCCTCAGCTCACTGTGCAGGCCGCACTGCCCCCCCTGCCGACCCCCACCTCCCCTGAGGTCCTCATGTGTCTAAGATGGACTGCGGCTCTTGCCCCAGCTTCTGTGTTCCCGTGTCTGGAATGCTAACCCTGACCCTGACCTTCCCTGTCTTTCCCACGTCAGCCTCTCCCAGCCCCCACAGATGGCATTATTCCTGAACACCGCCAACATGGGGTCCTCGTCACCGCCATCTCCATCTGCGGCTGGGGACCTTGGTGGGGTTGGCGGGTGAGAGAACGAGTGGGCAGTCGGTGAGCTCAGGCCAGTGAGTGGGTGACGGTGACAGAAATCAGAGAGGGTGGGACAGCCCAGTGCCCAAAGCTGGCATGGAGCCTCTTGGGAGAGAGTGAGACTCCCATCACGGGGGCATTCAAGCAGACCTGGCAGGGGTTAAAAATGAAATTCCCAGCCTGACCTCAGGCCTCCTGAGTTGACTCTCTGGGGCACCCGGGAGCCTGGGTCTCTGGCACTGACCCCCCCAACAGTGCACAGAGGAGCCCAAGTCTCTTTTCAGGCCTGAGGTTTGGGGTACCCCCAGCCATTCCCTCAGCTCCGAGTTCTCAGCCGGGTTCACCTGGCCCCTCCTGGGGCCTGCCCTCCCTCAGAGCTACAGCTTCCTTCTGTGGGTGCGGGGACCCCCCTCTCCCCCCGGGCCCTGCAGCACCCAGCCCACAGAGAGCCGTAGACTTTGCACCAGGGAGAGCGGGCTCTTCATGGCCAGAGTCCAGAGAAGGGCCGGAGAGGCCTGATCTTGGCCTGAGGCACTGCTCTGACGCCGGGGAGACCCGTCCCTCGCCGGGCCCAGCTGCCTTCCCATGGCCCCCAGGCCTTCCAGCTTGCACCCGAGCCACACAGCGCAGGCCAGGTGGGGAGTGGGGTTGACTGTCCGCCGGGCTGCTCCTGGGGACCAGGCGGTGGCTGGCCCCAGAGAGGTGGTTTGCTGGGAGCCCTGCCCTCGGTGAGCAGAGACCAGCAGCGACACTGAGACAGCCCGCGAAGCGGACCCGGGGAGAGGCCTACCAGTCCCCCGTCCTGGGAAAGCGCATATCTGCCAGAGTGGGGGGCCAGGGCGGACCCAGGGAGACACCTACCAGTCCCCCGTCCTGGGAAAGCGCATATCTGCCAGAGTGGGGGGCAGGGCCCTGTGGCTCCATCTCCCCTGCACAGCCCGAGCCGTCGCTGGACCTTTCTAAACTGTGTCCACACCCTCCTGCTCAAGACCCTGCTGCCCGTAGCAGATCTCCCCAAACTGGCCTGGCCACACAGGCCTTGTCCTGCCTGGGCTCACTCTGTGGACATCCTTCAGGCCCCCACTGTCTGTTCCAGCTTCACATCCCACCTGGGCCCTGACCCTGCAGTCCCCCCACACCACCGCCCTCCCCAGGCCTCACCGCTCATCCTTCACCATCCAGGCTCCCCCAGAGCCCCTGAAGCCCAGGCAGACATTGCTGGGCCTCCCCTCAGTGTGGTCAGTGCTGTGGTCATGTGATTCTGTCTCCTGTCCCCTACACAGAATCTCAGGGTACGGAGCAGCGGGGGAACAGAGTTCTTCACGCGGTCGGCCACCAAGTTCAAGGGCGCCCTGGCCCAGAAGTTCATGTTCGTGGAGGGAGACCGAGCCATCTGTGGCTCCTACAGGTGACTCCTGGCTTTGTGGGGGCTGGGGGGAGAGGCCGCTCTGGATCTCGGCTGGTTTCTGCCCTTAATCCTGCCTGCGACGCCCTGGTTATTCCGGTTCATTGGTCCCCAAACTGCTGAGGTGTGAGCTGGGCTGGGGCACACCTGCATGCCACCCGCTGTCTCCAGAAACAGTCAGAGGAGGGCTTTTGTCTGTGAGACTTGTTCCAGCCTAGAGGTGTCGCCAGCCTGAAGGTGGGGTGTGGGCCAGGCCAGGCTGTGTCTTCCCGGGCCCACAGGTAGTTCATCTGAAAGCCATCTTCAGGGACAGGGCCAAGATTAGGACAACCGTGGCCCAGCTCTGTGAGCCCTGCCATGCAGGGGGCAGCACAGTGGGTGGTGACAAAGACACCAGGTGTCCAGTGCTGCTCTGGGCATTCAGTGAGTGGCCTTCAAGATGCTGTGACCTGTAGAGGGATGCAGCACCGTGCTGTTCATACAGGTGGGGACGGCTTGGTGTCTGACTTGCCTGAGGACCCACACTGAGGTCTGGCCCTGAGGCTTGTGCCCTGTCCTCTGTCCCCCCTCTTATCGACCCCATCGGGGCCCCTTGCCAGGGTCTGATGGACAGCAGCCTGTGGGATGTGTGGTGGCTCTGGGACGCCCACTGCGGGGCGCAGGGCGCGGGGCCGAGGGAGGGAGTGGGCCCGCACGCCTGACCGGCAGCCCATCCCTGTGTTGCAGCTTCACGTGGTCGGCCGCGAGGACGGACCGGAACGTGATCTCCGTGCTGTCCGGCCAAGTGGTGGAGACGTTTGACCGGCAGTTCCAGGAGCTGTACCTCATGTCACAGGGCGTCAGCCTCAAGGGCATCCCCATGGAGAAGGAGCCCGAGCCAGAGCCCATTGTGCTGCCCTCTGTGGTCCCTCTGGTGCCCTCTGGCACTGTGGCCAAGAAGCTTGTCAACCCCAAGTATGCGCTAGTCAAGGCCAAGAGCGCTGAGGAGATCGCCAAGGTCTCCTCTGAGAAGCAGGAGGTCAAGAAGCCCGCGGGGCTGCGGGGCCCAGTGCTGGCCGAGCAGCCGGGAGACCCCCCCGAGCCGCCCCTGCCTATCCACCCAGGGCTGCTCAACCTGGAGCGGGCCAACATGTTCGAGTACCTGCCCACGTGGGTGGAGCCAGACCCCGAGCCAGGCAGTGACATCCTGGGCTACATCAATATCATCGACCCCAACATCTGGAACCCCCAGCCCAGCCAGATAAACCGCATCAAGATCCGAGACACATCCCAGGCCGGCACCCAGCTGTGGAGGCAGAGCCAGGACTGCAGCCCTGCTCCAGAGCCCAGCAGCCCCCAGGACGGGGTCCCAGCCAAGAATGGGCTCCCCCAGGAGGACCCCAAGCCACAACCCCCTGTGCCCAAGCCCCGGACGGTCCCCGTGGCAGACGTGCTTGCCCAGGAGGGCAGTGGTGTGGGCGGGGCCCTAGAGAGCCCCGAAGAGGAGGTGCCCCAGGCCAGGCCAGGCCATAGGCTGCCCAGGACACCAGGCCCAGGCCACGTCCTGCCCCAGCGGCAGCTGTCTGTGACCCAGGATGACCCTGACGGTGAGGGGCTGGTCCCCAATGGGCTAGATCGGGAAGAGGAGGAAGATGATGATGACTACGTGACCCTCAGCGACCAGGACAGCCTCTCGGGCAGCTCTGGCCTTGGCCGTGGCCCCCGGCGGCCCTCAGTGGCCTCCTCTTCTGTGTCAGATGAATATTTCGACGTGAGGGAGAGCTCAGCCCCTCTGCGGAGGCGCCACTCAGAGCAGGTAGCCAATGGGCCGGCCCAGCGCCCCCGCCGACAGCTGAGTGCCCCCCACGTGACCCGCGGAGCCTTTGGTGAGCCCCCGTGTGGGTCACTGTGGGCCCCAGGCCAGGAGAGAGAAGAAGCCAGCACTCTGCGGAAGATGCAGGCCTTGCGCTCCGTGGACGAGGAGGCACAGGTGGGTTGGGGTCCCTTCGCCCCAGGGGTCCAGGAGCCCCTTTCCCTGGGCCTGAGCACCCAGAGTGGCCATCTGCTGGGCTCCCTAAGGAATGGGGGTGGGGAGTGGGTAGAAACCACCCAGGGCCACATGTGTGGCAAAGACCTTCGGCCCCAGTGTCCCCCAAAGGCAGCCTCTGCCAGCTTCTGGGGTCTGGGTGGAAATGGGTCTAACGTGCCCAGAGGTCCCAGACCCACGGTGTGATAGGGAGTTGACGCCGGGCTTTTGGACTAGGGAATGGCAGTGGCAAAGAGGTATTTGTTTAAATCCCCAATGTACACAGCTGTGAGTGGTCCTTGTCAGGCCTTACGCCAAGCCACCTCTGTGTTGATCCCGTTGATTGTGGGCTTGGGGACCACTCTCCTCCCTGCTCCCCCAGGCCAGGAAACAGCTCACATGCATCCTTTGCCTCTCTTCCTGGTAACCTCTGCAGCCCCGGCCCAGCCCCTGGCGCCTGCCCTACCTGGGAACAGCGCACGGCTGATCATGCCTGGCATGACCATCAGGCACATAGGCAGCATCTTGAGGTAGCTGGCCAGGATGGAGCCTGCTTTGGCGTGGTTCAGGTCCCGGGCAGACAGCGACCGCTGCACGATGACCTGGGGGCAATGAAGGCAGTGAGTCCTGGCTCCCCTCGGGGCACCTGTGGCAGGACTCCTCCCTGGTGAGGCTCGGGAGAGGCGTGACATGCTGTCCCACCAGTGCCAGACCCGCCCGAGACAACCAAAGCCCCAGCCCGATACTTGACGATTCCCCCAGAAGCAGAGCTCACCCCGATTGGCTGCAACTGGAGTCAAGGTACTCTCATTCCAGGGACTCAGTCTCCCCAGCTGAGCAGGGAAGGTGCGGATTCTGCCCAGCCTGTCACCCAGCAGTTGGCAGGGCTGGAGAGACCCTGGGTGGACTGGTATTGGGGGCTCCCCCGTCTCCGGCACCCTCACAAGAGAGGCTCATGCACATGCAGGAGGAGACATTGGCACCAGCTGGTCTGTGTCCTGGGCAGAGATCAGAAGCTTTCAGACCTAGGGTTTGGGAAGCTTACAGTTCTAGGATGCCCTCGGGCAGCCGCAGGCAGCTCCTAGCTGAGCCTCAGTTTCCAGGTCTGCAGAATGGGAGGGGGAGGGAAGGGTAATGAGAGCTGATGGCATCTGAGATCTCTCCCAACTCTGACGTTACGATTCTACTTTGTTTTAAAGCTTTTTTTGAACAGCTTTATCAAGATATAAATTCACCTATGGTTCAGCCACATAAAGTGTGCTTTTCAGGATGTTCACAGTGTTGTGCAATCGGTAACTTTTAAATAAAAATTTTCCCTTCGCTGTTCTGCTGTGTAAATCACTACCAGCAACTCAGATGTAGGCGTTATCTGTGACTTTAGCTATGTTCCAAACGTGCCAGTGTAACAGGTGGTTCCCAGCATCCCCTTGACTGCATGGCCCTCGGTGGCACGTGACACACCGGGCACAGGGGGTGGCTGCACTGGTGTGCGGACAACCTGCTCCTCCACCAACTTCTGGTGACTTGGGGACGATGCCCTGCCTCGTTCTGGGCCTCGGTTTTCCTGTCTGGACACTGCGGAGGCGAGACGCAGCTCTCCGCAGACCTTTCCGCACTGGTGTCTGGGGACACAGAAGCCTAGGGCCACTCCTCTTGGGAGAGGAGAAGCATTTCCGGAACCCTGAACGCTGTAGTCTATCATTTCATTCTGTGCTCTCGGGGCCGGCCCTGGGGAGGCAGGCAGGACCGGTTTTGCTGTCCCATTCTGCAGGTGGAGAAGCTGAGGCTCAGGACCCCATCAGGCCTGTTTTATTGGTTTTGTTTGTTTCTAATTACAAGAGTGTAGCCTATGCACTGTGGATGAGCTAGCAGATAGTGAAAAAAAGTCTAAAGAAGAAAATGAAAAGTGCCCTTGGCCCCAGCACACAGCGCTGCCACCAGACTGGGCATCTTGAAGGGGCATCCTGGCCTGGGACTGGGTCCAGTTAGCCCCCCGGTGTCCTGCAGAGTCCCCAGTTGCTAGTGAGGGTCACAGCAGAGCAGGGCCAGGAGGACCAGACAGGGGGGACCCAGTGGACCACTCTCTGTTCTGTGAGGACTCTGGCAGACCCAGACTAGGCAAGAGGAGGACAGGGGGTGAGGCTGGGGCCAGGCTGTGGGCCCCCTGGGGTCAGCCCTCTTTCCCAGGCAGGGACGCCCGGTCAGCCCCGACCTCGCGACCAGGCCCACTTGGCCTTCATGGGAACATCTCCTGAATGATACCCTGCCCAGACATGCCAGTACCACGCCAGGCCTGTGCTGAAGGGAGGAAACGGCGGTGCTGGGGTAGGGGGCACGGGCTGGCTCGGCGGGGCAGCCCAGGCGCCCGCAGCCCTCCCCCCGCAGCCTCCAGCCAGCCCGCACTCGCTGGCCTCAGCCCTCCCAGGAGAGCCGAGCGGAACCTCCCGGGAAATCACATGTTCCTCGGAGGCCCACAAGTGAGGCGAGGCCAACGTGAGAATCTGGGGGCACCATGTTACAGATGGGGAAACTGAGGCCCAACCTCCCAGGGTTTCTGAGCCTCCCGACGTGGATCGCTGTGCGCTGCCAGCCCAGGGGGAGTCTGCCAGCACCGGCTGCTCCGGAGAGGGCGAGCCCGGGCAGCACCCCTCCCTGACAGGCAGCCATGGCCCGTGAAAGGTCACTCACTCTGGCTGCAGTCCCGGTCCTCCCCTCTGGTCCTCAGTGCTCCAGCCATGATGCAGCTCACTGAACGTACCCCTCAGGGGAGGCCGTTCCCGCTGACCCACAGTAACTGGCTGGGCTGGGCTGGCCCTGGGGCCTGGCTGTCTCACTCCAGTGATGGGGCCCTTGGGGCTTGGGTCCAGCAGCCTGGTCCACAGGTCTGTGCCTGTGGGGGCCCTGCGCTCCACGAGGCCCCTTCCCCCGAGTGCTGCCTGGAGCTGCCGGTGGCCTTCCAGGGCCGGCAGAGCGGGGCCTTGTCTGCTCTGTCCAGAGGGGGGCTGCCTGAGCCCCTGCTGCATTCACAGCTCCGAGAGGACCGGAGTCAGACTCCGCGTGAAGAACCACCCCGGCTCCACCGGAACGAGGGCCCAGATCAGCCCCGCCTCTGACACCTGGCCCAGCCCCACTGACAGGCAGAGGCTGGCACAGGGGCATCAAGGAACAGTGGGCACTTGCCCAATCACAACCACAGAAGGTAGAATTATTCCCATATGATACAAGGCAAAACTGAGGCACAAATTACGTAGCAAACTGGTCCCGGCCCACCAGCTAGTGAGTGGCAGGGCCAGGAGACAAGCCAGGTGTGCTGGCTGCAGCCTGCCTGGCACACATCTTGCAGGAAGGGATGGAGATGCTCCCTGGGATGTCACTCTGTCTTTTCTCTCCCAGGACCACCATTATGGAGTCCCTGCCTTGGGGACCAGGGAGAAAGATGGCTTCCCACAGCCGTTGAGGACCCCAAGATCCCCGGGGTACTGCCCCGCTGCTGAGGACGCCCAGAGCTCTACCAGGAAAGCGGGTTCCCATTACTGGCAGGCCAAAGGCAGCCTCCTGCCAGGTCCCAGGAGCCCAAGGCTGGCCCGAAACGCCAGTCTCCTGACTGACGGCAGGGCCACCGTAGTGCACCCGAGCCCTTTTGGAATCCCATACTCCAGACTGTCCCAGTCGAAGCAACTGAAGGCCAGGACAGGCGGCAGCCAATGGGCCTCATCTGACTCTAAAGGGAGGGTCCAGACCCCTCGGGACCACAAGGACCCCTAGCCAGGTCGTCCGCGGCCTCCACCCAAGCCCAGACCGACCAAGCAGGTGTTCCCAGGGCCACACATGGATTGGCAAATCGGCCGCCGGACTCTCCAGAACCCACCCCGGAAGGCAAGAAGGTAGCAGGCGATGATGTTGACACACCTGGTCGGTGCACCAGTACCAGGTGGCCATGATGGTCAGACCAAAGGTCATCCCAGTCCACGGGAGGTCCCCGGTGTGGGGGTCTCGGAACATGTGCATGGCATCCTCACGTGGTAAGTGGCAGGTCGTGTTGGCAACGATCCTGGATGGTATGGCCCGGGCGTAGGCCGTTGCCAGATGCTCGTACCCGCCGATCTGGTCGAAAGCTGGTCAGGGCGGGCAGGACAGGGACGGGTTGGTGGCTGGTGGCCCTGACTCCCAGCCCCCCAATGCCCTCACCTCACAGGAACCTCCTAAAGCGTCTAAATGGACTTTTTCCCAATTTACCTTTCCCAGTGTCTGGAAGAGTGTGGGAAGGTAGAGGGTTTTTAAAAAGGTGAATTCAAATGACTATTTTCTATGTATTTAAAATAATACTATTAAATGAGCATTTCCCATGTGGGCAGCTCAGTGTCCTGTTGGCCTTTGGGTGCCAGTTGGCCTTAGGCAAGGGGTGTTTGTGCCAGGCTTCAAACCATCAATTCAAGGAAGCAAAAATATTTTTTCTTAATATTTAAGTTCCTTCCAGGAAGCTTGAAGTGTTGAAGTCCTGACCCAGGGGCTTCTGAAGGCCATGCTTTCGGGCAGAGCTGAGAATGGCTACCAGCGACGCAACTCTGCAAAAGGAAACAGGTCCTGGGGGACAGCGGGGCATGACCAAGGCCACAGGCACAGCCAGCTGGGCCTCAAGCCAGGGGACTTTCCTCTCAAGCAGACCACATTCACCCTCACCGTTTCTGTCTACCTTGGGGTTAGCCCTTCGGGCCAAGGCCTGGCCCATCTGTGACCTGTGCAGTGTCTGCCCTCACTCTCCTCTGTCCAGACTGGGTCTGGCTGCCTAGGTTTCTCTTCTGCAGTGGTTTCTAGGGACACAAGCCCCTGGTCTGAGATGAAGCAGATGCACAGAAACCTGGACACAGGAGAACCCCAGTCTTAGCCAGGCCCTGCTCCCCCACTTTTCCCAAGCAGGAATCCTGCTGCTCAGACTCGGGGTCTCCAGCATCCTTGCTGCCTGGAGCCCAAGCCAAGCTGGGTGAATACTCAGAGCAAAGGTGCAAACTCTGCACATGGGGCAGAGATAGTCCCAGGACCCTGTAGTCTGAGCCTGGAAGAGACTTTAAAGGTCTCTGTTGCCCTCTGTGGGATCCTCCGGCTCTGCTTGCATCCTTCCAGGGATGGGGAGTTGTGCCCTCTGAGCTTCGTCCCTGTTCCCAGACCAGTGTCGGGTCTGTGTGAAGGCCCTGCTCTTCCGCCTGCTCCCCAGCAGGCGGCAGCAGCACTCCTCGGGCTCTGGGAGGTGGCTCTAGTCAGCTAGAGCAGACACACAGGCCGTCTTGTGGTCTAATCCTGTGTTTGCACATCCGCCTGGGGTCCAACCTCAGCCTCAAGAACCGAGCCAGGGCAGGTGCAGCTGGCCCTGCGTTCCTGAGTCAGCCCTGCACCACACCTGAGCCACCCAGGAGCTGCTGACAGCAATGCAGCTGGGGGTGTGGGCTGGAGAGGGGCGGCGCCTCCACCACTCAGAGGCCCAGAGGCGGCAGGTGGCTGACTGCCTCATGGCTTGACCTCATGAGCCAACCCTCCCGCAGCGTGGACACCCAGGCCCCGAAGGGCACGCTGCTGGGGTCGGCCCTACCACAGCCCACAGCCCACAGCCCTCACCTTTGACGGTCAGAATGACAGCTCCCACCACCATGATGAGTGTTTGCAGGGCGTCTGTGTAGATCACAGCGGCCAGGCCTCCTGTGGGAGAAAACATGGAAGCTGGAGGGGCCCTCGTCTCGAGGGAGAAGAGACAGGGAAGCAGCCCAGTGCTCTGGGAGGGACCACTGTCCACATCCATGTCCCTGCCCTTTTGCAGGTGGGTGAGCTGTGGGACCAGGAGACTCGGCCAGCAGAGCAGGACCACAAATCCAACCCTAAACCGGCCATGTCCCAGGCTGTGGGAGGAGGTGGCCCCTGCCTCCTGCTCATGCCCCTTGGTTCCTTGTAGCCTCTCAGATTCTGGCGCGTGTCCTCCCGGCTGCCCCGATGCCGACCCTGCCTGGGAGCCATACCTGCAATGGTGTACAGGGCTGTGATGGCGAGCATGAGGAGCGTGGACAGGTAGAAGTTCCAGCCCAGGCAGATGTGCACAAAGAGAGCCCCCGCGTACAGGTCGATCTGGGATGGGAAAGACATCTCGTGTTGAGGTCCCAGGTGACTGTAGGACCTGGGACACAAGTGAGCCTCTGCTTTGCTGTTCACTCACAGAGTGGCCTCCATGCCCCGTGGATAAGCAGGGGGAAAGCCCCCCAACCTGCCCGGGGCTGGATGAGGGAGGGAGGCAGTCCTGGCTGTGGACAAGCTGTACGTAGGGATGTTAGTGCTGTTAACAAGGTCCTACCAGGGAGCAGCATTGCTATTGAGTCTGGCCCTTGACAAGATGTGACGGGCAGAGCCCAGGCCCCTTGGTTCCCAGGGTGTCCTTGATGAGGAGGAGTCAGGAGGGCTTCCTGGGGGAAGACTAATAGGCCTCAGAAAACAGGTGCACATGCCTCGGTCTCCAGGCCCGAGTCTGTCTGGGTATGGCTCTGTTCTCTGCTCCCTATTAGACGGGGCTCTCCGAGAACAGACCAGGCATGGGCATGGGCGGGCTGGGAAACTTACTTCATGCCCGCTGGTGGGATTGGAGCTGAAGTCAAGACCATGTGTTAGGCTGAGGCTGGTCCCCAGACTAGACACAGCCCCTGCCATCCCAGGACCCATTTGGGGCAAGAATCAGAGCTCCAGGGTGAGCCTTCCAGGGCATGCTCCTCCCCCCTGTGCAGCGGGGACCCAGAGAGCGGGAGGGCAGGACCCTGCCCTGAGGGACCTGGGTGCTAGGCACAGGCTCCACCCCCCAAGTTTTCTAACCTGCCCTTCTGTGCTGCCTACTAGAGGGGAGACAACCCAAAATAGCCTTTGGGGCCAAGAACATCCCGGGAAGGCTGGCGAGGCTGTGAGGCCATCTGCAAGGCCGGAGGCAGCAGCCCGCTGACCTACCCCAGCTCCTGGCCTAGCTTGGAGCTGCCGGCACTGCTGGGGTGAGGCTGTGGACCCCTGCCCTCCCAGGCCTCAGGGACACAGAGCCCAGGAAACTGAGTCTCACCCCAAGCCCATGTTCCTGTACCTCCCACTCCAAACTCCCCCTCCCCCTTCTTTTGGAGAGGAGACCAGCCAGTGCGGAGACCGGCAAGGTGCTGTCAGGCTTAGGCAGTGTGCGTGCGCATGCGTGTGTGTGTGTGTGCATGTGTGCGTGTGTGAGTGTGTTGAGAGGCATCTGCCTCTGGCTCCCATGAGACCAGAGGAGAAACTGAGGCACAGGGAGGGGAATGGACTTGGCCAAGGTGAGGCCCAGGAAGAGGAACTGGAGGTGCCAGGTGAGAGCCCGCCTGGAAGGCTCTAGAAAGCAGCCCTCCTGCCTGGTCATCCTCTGGCCATCACTGAAGGCCCCTCCCTGGACCCAGCTGCCCTCAGAGCAAAGTCCCGGTCTGTGTGCCTGACCTTCGAGCTCTGGCACTTATCCCTTTAAGCACAGTTGACTCTGGTCACGCCAGACTGGCCTCCATCCAGTGCCCAGCACTTTGCTGCCTCCAGGCCTTGGCTCCCTCAGCTTCTGCCTCTCCTGTCAGGGGTCAGTCTCCGGGGCTCTGTTCCCTTTCTCCCTGCTCTTCAGGGACAGTGCTCCCTTCCTTCTCTGCCTATAGGCCCCACAGGGCGATGACGAGGGGTCTGACAGGCAGCAGGGCCAGCACAAAGGTGTGAAGATGGGACATGAACTGCTGTCTTCCGTCCAGGGTCCTGCACAGCGTCAGCGAAAGTTTGCCGCTGTCACGAGAGGCCTGTGGCGGGAGTGCAGGTGCCTGCAGGATCCAAAGGAGCCCCCAGATGAAGAATTGCAGGTGATGCCCGCCGGTCACTGTCTGAGCTGCCTCTCCCGCAGACGGGGCTCTGTCCCGCAGACGGGGCTCTGTCCCGCAGACGGGGCTCTCTCCCGCAGGCGGGGCTCTCTCGTGTAGACGGGGCTCTCTCCCGTAGACGGGGCTCTCTCCCCCAGGCGGGGCTCTCTCCCCCAGGCGGGGCTCTCTCCCCCAGGCGGGGCTCTCTCCGGTAGGCGGGGCTCTCTCCCGCAGACGGGGCTCTCTCCCCCAGGCGGGGCTCTCTCCCGCAGGCGGGGCTCTCTCCCCCAGGCGGGGCTCTCTCCCCCAGGCGGGGCTCTCTCCTGCAGACCAGACAAGCTGCAACCTGGCAGACTCTCGGAGCCCTAAACCCAGAGTCGCAGGGACCGAGTCTGTCCCTCGTCAACTGTCCCCAGCTAAAGGCTGCTTCACCTCCTGAGCCTCAGTGGCTCTCATCTGTAAAATGGGGGAGCAATGTGGAAAGAACACAGGCGCTTGGGCCAGGGGCAGCCCCCTCATCCCTCTGGCCTCTGTAGACCCCCTACTGGCATCTCTCCTCTGTGCCTCCCTCCCTGGTGGCCTAGGAGCAGCTGTGGAGTCTCATCTGACCCTGTGTGGACAGAGAGAGGCAAGGCAGAGGGACTTGCCCCTGGTGGCAAAACCCTGGGAAGATCAAAAGGACAGCAGCAGGGAACTTGAGTCTCAAAGGAAGGCCCACTCTCAAGGGCACACAGCTCACCAGGGCCTTGCTCCACCCTTGCTCAGACACCTGCTGTGGCTCCCCACTGCTTACGAATGGTGTGCAAGGTCATCAGTTTCCTCCTGTGATCTGACCCCAAACTCATTCCTCACCAACTGTCTTTACCACCTCCTGTTATTTCTTCCCAAGCGTGAGGCCCAGCCTGTGCCCACGCCATGCCTTTACTCACAGGGGCTTCCGCCTCTCGTCTTGTACCAGAAGACCGCCTGCCCCAGGAAGTCCCCGCCGGGTGCCTGGTAAACCTACGTGTGTGCCACACGATGCCCGAGCGCTTTATTCTCATTTTAGGCTTGGTGTCCTACGAGGTTGGCGTCATGATCCAGTCCCCTCCCCAGAGGA